AAAGAGTGTTAGTGTTTGGTTGATATTTAAACAGTCTTTGATCTTGAATGCCTTGTTCCTCCCTTTAAATGATAGCAGCAGCTTTCAACAAGCAACAACCCTATTACTGCTTCCTGTATCTTTCTATATGGTATTACTGTGTAGAATGAGGAGATTAAAGGGAATAAAATAATTGCTTTCTGGCCCCCTAAGTTCTCACTGTTTTTTCAGTAGGCTACAGCATTATTTGGATAATCAGCATAACTGTCCATGCTTTTGATACATAACATACTCATGTACTGTCTTATTCTGTGTAGCTGGAATCCGTGTATGTTTACAGTCTGTTACATAGCACATACTGGTCTTGCAAGCTCTAATGCTGATGTGGTACAATACTGGGATGTATCTGTCAGTGCCAGCCGAATAATTTTGCTGTAGTAAAGGTATTCTGACACAGGATGGAAGAAAGCCAAGTTACATTTATGACATTTCTAACTTAAGCAACAATGCTCAGCATTCAAATCGTAACGCAACAGTAAGAGAGTGTAGTGCTTATGTTGATATCAGCATCTAGTTTGTTTTTATAGAGTTTTATAAATGCTTGTAATTTTGTGAATGTCTGTGTATGTACTGTAAGATATGCGGAATTTATCAGGGTAAAGGCTGGAGCACTTTCATGCTGTTTGCTGCACAGTGGAAGGTTTGACTGCAAATGGTCTCTGGCATTGGTTTGTCAGCTGGCAAGAAAATCCAACATTATCTTTTTGAGTCTAGCCACCATCCTTGTAATTTTTCCTGTGCTGTAGCAAAACAAGTTCGGTATTCATGCTCTGACCTTTTGAGAAAGTTTTCCTCCATCACTACTTGATATTCAGTTTTGTTTCTTTTAGTTTAGCAAGAGGCAGGCCAGAGAGTCTTCCATTCCTGTGAATGGCTGGGCACCAGTGGTTCTGCCCAGCAAGGTGCTAGTTTTATGTTAGACCACTAGTGCTATTTTGGTGTGGGGAATGAAAACAGAATGTGACTTTAAATGTAAATTTAGCTAAAATAAAACAAGACTGATGGATGATATATAAAAATCTCTATTTTGGCAACGGTCAAGAGACTGATCATTGCAGCAGTCTGAATCAAATGACTTGAGTGTTCTTGCCCCCCAAGTCAGGAGGTTAGTTTCTTCCCAGTTACATTTCACAGCATGTGATTGGTTTTTATTTTGCTCCAGTGACTTCTCACCTTTGTTGAAAGTGCCAAGTTCTTAAATTCCCCGAGAAGATCTCTTCCTATTTTTTTGTCTTTTCTTCTAGGATTTGGTTCAATAGCCAGGTATCTGTGGCTTTTCTTGACCCATCAGGTCCCTCTTCTGTGTCCCAAACCCCCAACCTCCCCCCCCTACCCTGATGCTTTCCAAAATTTTCTGGAACAGTTCTTAAACATTTGAGAGATGATTTGTGGAAAGACGATGCAAAAATGTAATGTGTCTAATGGTTTTAATACAGGAACTCTGCAAATCTAGCTTTGGTGTGTTAAAAGGTTACTGCCTCCAACCACCTACTCGACCCTTTGGTCAGTAATTTCCAATTGCTTAGCAGATTCACTAAAGAGAAATGCATGAATGTGGCTTTCTGATCCTGTGAGAAGCTCAGTGTTTTGATTCAGCTCCTTCTTAACTTGACCGAAGATGTTGGACTTCACACTGAAAGAGTCGAGGTGTGGGCACATGTTCTGCCTGCTGTCACTCTCACCAGAGAGGTGGCTTTTGGTGGAGAGGTGGGACATGCAGCTGGGCAGGAGGCCGTTTTGCACCACTCTACAAAGGCTCATCAAAGCCCATAGCCCACTTCAGTATTTTAGTACCCTTTCAGTCTGTGAAGGGGAAGGGTGGGGGGTGTGCATGCATGTGGTGCTGCATGCCTTCTCTTAACCTGTACCTTGCTCAACATTATTTGAATACTTCTTTTCTGGAAGTGGGAGAAAATGTAATAAACAATTCCTTCCTCTAGCATGGGGCTAGGTCTCATATGACAGGGCTTTGGTAGGGGATTATCAGATTCAAGAAAATTAAATAAGTTTGGGAGAGTGTGTGTTGTCGGATCTATTCTCCCATAAATAAACTCTTTTCAGCCTTGTGTTGTGACCTGGCTCACAAATAAGCATAACATTAGATGTTTAGGAAACTTGTTATTTTCCATGTTTAAGCCTTTCACGGTCAGCAGAACTTGTTTCTTTTGCTATCCGCTTTATGAACAGCATTTAGCTCCTGAGACATTTAAGTCAAAATACTCACGTTTTCTTTTTCATGGGAATTATGTTACTTTTTCCTTCAACCTCCTTACCCTTCTTCCTTCACCCCTGTGCAGCATCCTGCCGCTTAACGCATTGAAGGGTACGTGTACAGGCTTTAGAAACAGTTGCAAAAGGGAGGCGAGCACCTGGCAGCGCGACATCACAGGGAATGGCGCTGTTACACAATAGGTGAGGAAAGGACTGCTGAGAAATGGGTTGAAAGAAAGGAATGTAAAATGGCAAGGAACAGAAAGCATTTTTTAAATTTTAGGTTGTGTCTTGCTGTTTGTAGAGTATTTGTGACTTATCCTTTTAAGTGGTTGAACTGAACCTTCAGTGCGTCATTGTATGTCAAAGCTGTACTGGACGATGACGTGATAAAACATATGATGTGTTGGATGCAGGACCTATCATAAAGTCATGTTTTTTTCTTTAAAAAACCCGAGAACAACAATAAAAGCCCAAGTTTGTAGTCTTTTAGCTCAAGTTAATATTAAAGAACAAAATGCTTAGCTGGTCCGCTAAAAGAGTTGTTCTTAGCCCTTCAGAACTGCATGTGATAAGAACAAGATTATAGATTAACTAAATATTTCAAATGGTCCTTAACCTTGGCTGACAAGAAGAATGTGAGTAAAACCTTTACTACTGGGTAGGAGTGTACCAGGACATGCACCTTTTTTTTTTCCATTGAGTAATTCCATCCTTCCAGAACTCGTGACATTCCCAACCTACACACGTCAGCACAACGGAAAAGTGTGTGTATACTGCTCATTTACAACTTCATAAATCTTAATAAGGGTTTATAATGATGATGATATTGTGGCTGAATATAGAGTCTGATTACTTTGCGAGGTATATAAAAGTGCAGCCCTCTGACCCCAGATTGTCAAACAGTAATAGGTAAAAATTGTGTTGAATAAAATGTTTTAGGAATAGTACAAAACAGTTATTATACAAAATTAATTTTAATACTGTGCATTTAACTAACTTTTGGCATAGTTTAACTCCATGGAATTTCTAGTTCCAGTGCAACAATTCTTTTAAATTTGGTTTATGTATGAATGTTTCAACTAACAATTATCTATATAAAGTATACAGAAAATCCTAAGATGCGTATTTGTGCTGACAAATATACTAGTGAATTTAGGTTAGCATAACACAATTGGCACAACTTACTCTGAGTGTTGTGCCTTAAACTTCTGTAGTTACAGATCTGTTTGTATGGCCTGTGCCCTAAACTGTGGTATAGTGAAGCGCAAGAATAGGTCTAATACTGCACACATGATCACACTTGTTTTCTACTATATAGCCTTGTATAAAGAAATCTGTGCAACAAAT